TTACTCAATTTGTGTAAGTCATATCCAAAAACTGCTGGGGTTTTCATTAATCGAAGGATTACTGTAAAATCATAAACTTACTTAGGCTCCAATGTGATTGTCAACCATATATGACTCAACTGACATCACATACTCTTTCCCAGATTTGACAAATGTGACAAAACCAAACACCACATAAATTACATATCTCAAGCCTGTGGTAACTGAAATGGAAGAATCATTCAAATTGCTAAACTGAAAGATCCATCCCTTTGATGTTTTGATAATGTCCAGCGCCCTGCATGCTATTATGGAAACAACATCTAGTACATAAACTGTGAAACATAATTGGAAAAATATCTATTGTACAAGTAATGGAATCTCTGAAAGATGAATCTCAACACATGTACTTGAAATCATCTACTTCAATGTGAATCTTGGCACTAGTCCACAAACCTTGAGTCATTTTCAATGAACTACAATAGTATCAAAAGATTTACACTAATTGCTTAACCTGACTAACATTTTGTTGCACTTGGGAAAAGGACACCTTGGGGAAAATAAAAACTAATGACAACTTTTGGTGAAATCACGTCTTGTGAGGATGAGATGCACGGAACTTAATCCCTTTGATTTTAACACTGAAGGGACAGTTCTTGTTCATGTGGTAAGTCTTCATCAGTTTCTCTTCACTCATAATACTTTCGTCCCATACAACCTATGGCACTTTTGAGACATATGACTCATGACACAAGGCCATACACTCATCACTTAGAGCCATGAGATGCATGGCATGTAGTTATCTTGTGCACAATTATGTGACTTATCATGGTAACTTTAATACTATATTTTCTTTGCTAAGAGAGGCAATGTCACCCAAAAGGGTTTCTAGTCAAGAAAGACAGCCATCAGGTAAAGAATTGCTACGGTATAAAAACCATACAAAACTACAAATGAGGATCATAAGCCTACCAAAGTTAAAGGAAGGCCAAATTCTTGTGCTAATCAGCCTGTATAACAAAAATACTGGTTCATGCAAATCCCCAACACAATGCCATGTACTGGGAATGCATGAGTTTTTCTTTCATTCTTTTTTTTAAGTGGGGAGGGTCTCTTCTATCCTCACTATCTTTTTTTTCATAAGTTTGTTTCTAAGGCAGAATCTTGTCTTTTTTTCTTGAATACCATAAGCACTACAACCGAATAAACACTGTCTTTGATTTGGAAGATTCACTCAAATTTAAAAACTGGTATCAAGTTCAGATCTATGGGGAAAGTGAGAACACATTCTAGGCAGTACGTGTTTACCCTAGTATCGGAGATGTGTTTACAACAGCCGATCTAGAGTTGTTATAACTATAAAATGGCTACATAGCCAGGTAGGACTTGGAATATGCAGCTGCACAAAGAACAAAGTAAAATGATATATTGAAAAATAAGACAAAATCTCAATGTGATTTTATGACTCATTCAACAAAATAATTTGTGTTACAAAACACACTAGACAAAAGATTAACAGTCCTTACAATATTACTTTCTTTTCTGCTACCATTTTGGAGTAGCCTTGGACAGTTCAAAATGTACAAATCAAATATAACAGTGACTATAATTTTTCAAACTCATAACAACCAAAGAAATATCTACATTCATATCACTCCTAAGTGATAATATATCTTTTGATTGAGGATTCTTTCTGTTTACCTATATAGATAAACCACTTATTCCTATAAAAGAAAAGAAAAGAAAAGAAAAAACATGGCAAAACCTCTCAACTGTATATACATCTAAAAAAAAAAGGCCAATCATTTAAAGGAAAAAACAATCACAGCAAAGATATACAGTACACTTCTTATACAGATGAATCTCAAGGCCAAACTCAAACCTGGGCTCCATTCATCCGATTATGCTGCATGACAACCGTTGCCACAGACAGGCAGCACATACAAGAGGTGAGAAGGCCTACAGCAATGTAGACAGATGTGATCAGCCAGAAGGCAAACTGGTACAGGGTGAAGTCACAATAATCATGAGAACCTTCAACATAGTTGGGTTCATAGATTCGATACACCCACACACATCCTGAAGGGAAAGAAAAAATGTTTATATCATTAATGCTGCATAACATTTTCTCTGCCTTTAAAAAAAATCTACATACTCATTGCAATAATGTATCAATACAATGTCTTCAGATTTCCAAAACATTTGTCTGGGTTAACAGTGGGGTACAGTCAACTTACAGAAAAAATCCATTAAAAATAATTCCATTCAAAGTAAATCATTATATATTTCCTTACAAATATTATGCTATACATTCAATCTTAATGAGCAAGAATGCCCTACATCCTACAGTCTTCCATTCATGACATAATTCACTAGAGGTTCATGACTTAATGTCTTGATAATCAATTATGATAATTTCTTTCGGAGATTGTGAGTAGTTATTTGACATACAATTATCAATTTCTTATTCTTTTGAAATTCACTATATGAAATGCCACACTGTTATGAATGTATTATCGCATGATATGGTGATATTATTGTAATTATTATTTTATTCAAGGTATGAAAATTCTGTACTGACGTAATTATTTTCAACAGCATTAGGAAAGTATATTTTCATTGGTAAGTAAAAATATTTTAAACTGAAAAATCTACTTCTGTGATACAGATGTTTAAAGATTTCAATGCTCACACTACAGTTGTCTCTAGCTTGATATATATCAAAGCTTCATATGTTACTTGTATGTATGAAGTAATGATCAACTGCAAGAGGAGCAGGAGAAGTGGCCATAAGCTAGGGAGATGCAAGACAGAATGATGGCTGAGGAGCACCTGGAGTTGGCGGTAGCAATTCACAAAGGCTGCCACTCTTCTTTTCTTGTCTTCTCTGACTTTCTTAATGTTTTCCAACTGCTTACATTACAAAATAATGATGTATCACAAAAAATACTTGACAAACACGCATAGCTGGTATGCACCCCTCACCCTCCCCTTCCCCATCTCTACTGGCCAAAGGAATTTAAGCTGTGGTGCTACACTTTACTACAATACTGGTACTGCCATATTATCCAACACATGCCTGAACCTGAAAGCAATGGGGAGTGGGGGGGAGTGAGCAGAGACAAGGGACAGAGAGCAAAGAACTGATATTGACAAAGACAGAGGACAGATACAAGAGAGAGAGAATGAGGAGAGAGACAACTAAGAGAAAAGAAAGGAGGAGTGATCAGACAGATAGTAGAGAAGAATGAGAGAGGAAAGAGAGAGAGGAGAAAGCAAGAGGGAGAGAAAAGGGGATAGAGAGACAAAGTAAAGCAATGTATACAAGACATATATAACTCAGCAAGTCCATAGTTTATTAGTTACAAATAAATAATTTATTCTTTACCCTTTGGACAACCTGCCTGCTCTAATTTTTTGTGAAATCTTTTATACTTAACCCATTAGCGACGGTCCATTTGGAAGCAGGTAATTACGGTTTCTGGGCGGCATCAAAATCGGCACACGGGACAGTCCAGGAACTGGCCCATGCACTGCCCACCATGGGCGACAAAATCAGAGCACAAGCTCCGATCTAGCATAGCACCACTGGGACAGCTGGCAATGTTTATTTTTCCAGGTGTCACATATGTGTGACTACCCATCGTAAGTGGGTTAACCCACTAATCACGGTATATTTTGAAGCCAAAAATAAGTTTTCAGCCGGCTACAGGTGACTACGCAGCGTAAGTGGGTTTACCCACTAATGCCGGTATATTTTGAAGCCGAAAATAAAAGTTACCAGGCGGCTACAAAATCGGTGCATGGGGCTGGCCCGGACTCTGCCCGCGCGCCCACCGCAGCCCTCTGTTGAATCAGAGTGCAAGCTCCAATACAGCTTCACACTGGCAGGGAGTCTGGCAATTTTTTTTTTCCAGGTGTCTCATTTGTGGGACACCTGTCATAAATGGGTAAGGGCTTAGCAGTCCAATGTGATGTCACCTTATATCTCCTTTTTTGAATTTGCAGATTTTTTTTCATAACGATATGAGTATTGATACTGTTATCATTATCTTTGACATCATGATTACAATGTTATCAAAATACTAATAACAATAAAAAAAATCTCAGAAATCAAAGAAAAGGGTAAACAGGTGAGATGGGTAGTTTTAGTAATTGAATCTTTCATGACTAAGAACTTGGAGTCTTGTATGTGTAAAATTAATAAACTAAAATCAGTGGATATGGTATGTATGTGATGGCATCCTAGCACAAAGGGTCAACCATCATGATTTTTTCAATGTCCATACAACAAATTACAAAGCCTCACCTAAAATGAACCAGATACACAAAAAGAAATTGATGGCCCCAGTGAACTGCAATCTCCGGTGCCATGGAATTGGTCCATCATGACTTTCACCTCCGTCGTCTTCTGCCAGTGGACGGCGAAGCCTCCCTTGTAGGTCCAACAAGTTCTTTACTACTCCAAATGTTCCTTTCAAGTACATGCAAATGTTTGTTCATTAGCATTGAAATCATATAGTTTATAATTTTTCATTCTCCAATACTACATACAAAATATATTGTATCTATTTCTAATGTCCTTTACATCTTCAATATATTTTACACAGCCATAAGTATATTCATTGCTGGCAATTCAGAATTTGTGAGTCTATGGTAACTTTATATCTACTGAAATTCTCTTGACCACTGAACAGCATAAGCTCTGACCTAAAACCAACCTCCAATGACAAGATAAATGGGAATCATTTTCTCAGCCGGACATTCATCCATTTTGAGGGATCCAACGATGATCATGAAGATTGGAATCACAATCGTCACACTGATCATCACTGTGCAACCAACTGAAAAATATAAGTTGCATCACCTTCACCTTTCACTAAACCAGACAAAGTTTTTACATTAGCTGTGATTCACAGGCACTGTGCAGTGATTCTTTTCACAAAACATTATTTCTATAAGCAAAAATAAATCATAGCAGCACATTTGATCTCTATCTTTAAAAATAAATATACTAAATATATATATATATTTTTTTTTTAGAGCAGAAAAATTATATTCACCACCAGGTAAATCCTGCACCTACCCCTTTTCTAAAAAGAGAAGACCATAATACTAAAATTACAATGTTTGGATTGTCTCAAGCAATAAATGAAAACTTCTACCTAAATGACAAATGAACAGCTAAACAGCATCTTTAATCTCTAAACAGCAAACAAAGTACTGAGGCAATCCTATCTGGCAGGTATAATTCCATTCACCCAAGTCCATATTTTCTGCTGACTGGAGCAGCTTTACTGAGTGCATTTTTAACCCCTTGCTGCCCAACACTTTTTCAATCATTGTTTACATAAGCTGTAACATCCTAAATGGTTCTTTGCATATTCAGAAATTAAGCACCTAGTTGTATCAATAGGGCACAACTGTATCAACCACTTGAAGAAAAGATCAAAGGTATTAACTACCTGCATTTACATACAACTAATAAAACACTTTTTTTTTCTTGGTACTACAAGGTATTATCTGAAATTTGTACAAAACTCCCCTTAGGCCACAGCATTTATTTTTCTTGAATAGCGGGCCTGCCGAAATTAACTTCCAGGAAAATGAAAAAAAAAAGGTGAAAATCCAGAATCTTTATTTTCATCTCCTGCCAATATTGTGACCTCCGCAAAAGAAATAGCAAAAAAATTAATACAGATCAATTTGTCTATGACACATAATGTATGGTATCATTTCTCCCATCCCCAAAACAAAAATAAAAAATATTTGGTGGAAATACCTTGCTCTAACGCGTCAAGTCATGTTTATTATCTATCGCGTCCATGGTCAGTGGTTGCTTCTGATCAGTCATGGCGTGTTTCACAATATGGGCAGAGAACCTGTGCACTAGGATGTAAACACTCACATTCAAACATCAAAACAAAAATGGCCATGGCAAGTGGTGTGCAAAATGGCAAAGTACATATATATGTCAATTTTTTTATAAATATTTTCTATATTGATTTCTAAAATAATAAATTCTGGCTGAAAGAATTCTTTGTCTGTTTTCGATCAATTCCTCAAAGACTTCCAGTAAGACAGAATTGTACTTCCTCCAGTTGGGACTGGAACTGATACATTCCTTTACTTCTGCTCTTTGGAAGGTAGGAGGTACACTTGTCTTATCTTGGTTCTGGGGATTTTCTTTTTGCTCCCACCGACATTTCATTATCACCAGACTTGCCCGCTATTCAAGAAAAAAATTGCTGTGGCCTTAGTGACCTGCTGAGAAAGCACAGCAGTAACAAGCCTGACTGAAAGCAGTATTAGATTGAAAGTTTCAATTCCTGAAACTTATTCTTTCAAGTCTAATCCATTACTTTGTTTGCTAGATATGACTAAAGTCTTTTATCTTTGTACAGATGACAGTGACAAAGGGGTGGGAGCAGTAGTCTTGCAAAACGTGAAGAGCTGTAAGATGCACATTGCCTTTGCAAGTAGAAAGTTACCTGACCATGAAGTAAACTATGCCATCATTGAAAAAGAATGTCTATCTGTTGTTTGGGCCTAAGAGAAATTCAGAATTAACCTATTTGGCAAGGAATTTATCCAACAAACAGATAAAAAATAATCATCTTTTCTCTTCTGCAGGATGACTTCAAATGGATCAATATCAAAATGTCTATCTACTGGTGATGACTTGCATGGACTTACTTGTTCCCAAAAATAAGATGATCAGGTTCTTGATGAAGTCTACAAGACCATTTGAACTCTTCTGGACTTCTCTGACTCGCCCAAAGAGTGACTCATAGGTGGGTGGAGGGACTGCAAGAGAAGTGCATGGTTGGATTATGATACCAAGGTGGATTATGGGGCTGGCAGCAAGAACAGTCATTATCTATCAAATGCCTACATGTATTTCTCATTCATTATGAGATCTGCAAAAGGAGCAAGAAATATAGAAAAGGGAAAATAAGAAAGAAAGCAAGAATCAAAAAGAATTAATTAAAGGAAAAAGGACAGAAGGAGAAAGGACTAACTATAGATTTAAAGATATAACAATGAAAATTAGGGGAAGCACAGGAAAGAAAAAGTAAAAGGAAACCTCAGTTAAAAGAAAGTCAAGAACATGATAGCCTTTTGCCTACCATTGAGGTTGTGACATTCATCGTACGAAGGTGGAGGCCCTGGCATAGGTTCCGATGGGCTCATCTCAGGCGGCTGGAAGGAGTAGGCAGGCGGAGGCCCAAGCATGTCCTCTAGGGGGGGGATGCTATCAGTTGTAGTTATCTGAAAATATAATCGCAGCCAATAAGGTAAATCTTCACACTCTATTTTCAGAAATAAAAATCTCTTTCACTGACTCCTCTCACCTTTATCATCAGAGCCCACGAAGTGTGAGTTAAGTTACCGTGCGAGGTGATGGCGGTGGGAGGGGTGTGGTGGGGGTCTCCGTCTGGAAGGAGGTGGTGGTGATCACATCCCCGGGGGTGGAGGCAGCACTGCTACTACCTTCTAGCTCCTGGAAGAAGTGATAGTGTAAGGATAAAGAGACTTAAATGAAAAGAGAAAAACTTAACATAATAATGATGATAATGATTATGATAATGATAATAATGATGATATTGACAATGATAATGATAATGATAATGATAATGATAATGATAATGATTCGATACTGTATTATGTGAATGAACAAAAGAATGAACCCATCATAAAAAAAACAAGAGAATGAACCTATCATAAAAAAAACAAGAGAATGAACCCATCATAAAAGAACAAGAGATTTAACCCATCATAAAGAACAAGAGAATGAACCAATCATAAAGAACAAGTGAATGAACCCATCATAAAAGAACAAAACAATGAACCCATCATAAAGAACAAGAGAATGAACCCATCACAAAGAATAAGAAAATGAACCCATCATAAAGAACAAGAGAATGAACCCATCATAAAAGAACAAGTGAATGAACCCATCATAAAGAACAAGAGAATGAACCCATCATAAAAGAATAAGAGAATGAACCCATCATAAAAGAACAAAAGAATGAACCCATCATAAAAGAACAAGAGAATGAACCCATCATAAAAGAACAAGTGAATGATCATAAAAGAACAAGAGAATGAACTCACCATAAAAGAACAAGTGAATGAACCCATCATAAAAGAACAAAACAATGAACCCATCATAAAGAACAAGTGAATGAACCCACCATAAAAGAACAAGTGAATGAACCCATCATAAAAGAACAAATAAATGAACCCATCATAATGAACCCACCATAAAAGAACAAGTGAATGAACCCACCATAAAAGAACAAAATGAACCCATCATAAAAACAAGTGAATGAACCCACCATAAAAGAACAAGTGAATGAACCCATCATAAAAGAAAGTGAATGAACCACCATAAAAGAACAAGTGAATGAACCCATAAAGAACAAGTGAATGAACCCACCATAAAAGAACAAGTGAATGAACCCATCATAAAAGAACAAGAGAATGAACCCATAAAAGAACAAGTGAATCATATGAACCCAATGAATGAACCCATCATAAAAAGAAAAGTGAATGAACCCATCATAAAAGAACAAGTGAATGAACCCACATAACAAGTGAATGAACAAGAACAATGAATGAACCCATCATAAAAGAACAAGAATATAAAGAACAAGTGAATGAACCCATCATAAAGAACAAGAGAATGAACCCACAAAGAACAAGTGAATGAACCCATCATAAAGAACAAAACAATCATAAGTGAATGAACCCATCATAAAAGAACAAAACAATGAACCCATCATAAAGAACAAGAGAAAAGAGTGAATGAAAAAGAAGTGAATGAACCCATCATAAAAGAACAAAACAATGAACAAGTGAATGAACCCATCATAAAAGAACAAGTGAATGAACCCATCATAAAAAAACAAGTGAATGAACGTAAGAACAAGTGAATGAACCCATCATAAAAGATGAACAAGAGAATGAACCCCAAGTGAATGAACCCACCATAAAAGAACAAGTGAATGAACCCATCATAAAGAACAAAACAATGAACCCATCATAAAAGAATGAACCCATCATTAATATAAAAGAACAAGTGAATGAACCCACCATAAAAGAACAAGTGAATGAACCCACCATAAAAGAACAAGTGAATGAACCCATCATAAAAGAACAAGTGAATGAACCCATCATAAAAAACCAATGAACCCATCATAAAAGAACAAGTGAATGAACCCACCATAAAAGAACAAGTGAATGAACCCATCATAACAAGTGAATGAACCCAAAAGAACAAGTGAATGAACCCATCATAAAGAACAATGAACCACCATAAAAGAACAAGTGAATGAACCCACAAAGTGAATGAACCCATCATAAAAGAACAAACAATGAACCCATCATAAATGAACAAGAGAATGAACCCAACATAAAAGAACAAGTGAATGAACCCATCATAAAAGAACAAGTGAATGAACCCATCATAAAAGAACAAAACAATGAACCCATCATAAAGAACAAGTGAATGAACCCAACATAAAAAACAAGTGAATGAATAAAAGAACAAGTGAATGAACCCACCATAAAAGAACAAGTGAATGAACCCATCATAAAGAACAATGAACCCATCATAAAAGAACAAGTGAATGAACCCATCATAAAAGAACAAGTGAATGAACCCATCATAAAAGAACAAATGAACCCATCATAAAAGAACAAGTGAATGAACCACCATAAAAGAACAAGTGAATGAACCATCATAAAAGAACAAGTGAATGAACCCATCATAAAAGAACAAAATGAACCCACATAAAGAACAATGAATGAACCCATCATAAAAAGAACAAGAGAATGAACCCATCATAAAAGAACAAATGAACCCACATAAAAGAACAATGAACATCATAAAAGAACAAGTGAATGAACCATCATCATAAAAGAACAAGTGAATGAACCCATCATAAAAGAATGCATAAAAGAACAAGTGAATGAACCCATCATAAAAGAACAAGTGAATGAACCCATCATAAAA